CAGACCCTCATCTTGACCCAGACCCTCATCCATACCCAGACCCTCATCTTGACCCAGACCCTCATCCTGAACCAGACCCCCATCCTGACCCTGACCCCCATCCTGACCCAGACCCTCATCCATACCCAGACCCCCATCCATACCCAGACCCTCATCCTTACCCAGACCCTCATCCATACCCTGAACCCCATCCTGACCCAGACCCTCATCCATACCCAGACCCCCATCCTGACCCAGACCCCCATCCTGACCAAGACCCTCATCTTGACCCAGACCCTCATCCTGGCCCAGACCCCCATCCTGACCCAGACCCTCATCCATACCCAGACCCCCATCTTGACCCAGACTCTCATCCTGACCCAGACCCTCCTCCTGACCCTAAAGTTAATCCACACATTGGTTTTAAAACTAACCCTCAGACCAAGAAGTGAACCTTTCCACAAGGAAAGGTTCACTTCTTGGTCTGGGCCCCAGCAAAACTAAAACCAGGCTCGGTGTGAGTGACCTTGAGTTTGGACAGTGGGTGTTTTCCCTCCATTAAAGCTCACAGTCAAACAGTAGCAGTGAGGTCATCAGTTTCCAGGCAGACAATACAGACATTGTTGTTTTTTTGTCTTTTGTAGCAGACCCAGACTACGTCCAGCTTTCTGCAGTCCCAGTAGACTCGACCACCCACAGCGGGGAGGATGTGGCAGTTCTGGCCCGCGGACCCATGGCTCACCTTTTCAGCGGGGTCCAGGAGCAAAACTACATCGCCCACGCCATGGGCTATGCTGCCTGCGTGGGTGCTGACCTCAGGCATTGCCAGGGGGAGACCAATAAACCTGCAACCCCCAACAACGGGTCAGGGACACGTCATACTTCAGCAGTTCTGTCTAGCAGCCTCCTCAGTTTCATCCTGGCCTTGACACTGCTCATGTAAGACCCCCCCCCCACAGGCAGCCACCAGGGTAGCTTCAGGGTATGTTTCAGCCTGCAGAGTGCTTTGATTAAAGGAAATAAATGAAATCAACCTGTGCTGAAGTTGAGAATTTTTTTGTTTCATCAGTTAAAGAGTCTAATGATTGCAGAGAAGTGAACAGAGTGAGAAATATTTAACCTTTAATTTTAGGACGTGCAGCATGGTGTCTCTGTCTGAGGAGTCCAGATCTGCTGTCTCCATAGGAGGACAGGAGGCCACGGGTGTCTGTCCAACTCTGGGACGAAATAAATGAAGGGTTGGATGCAGCTGTGACTCAGGGGAGGTTCTGTTAACTTTAGGATGGAGATGTTCTCATCCCCCCATCCTAAGATTAAACACCTTCCTCTGTGGGTTATGGTGGGACATCAACTGGGACAGGAAGAGCCGATAAAATAAGAGGAAAACAGTTGATGAAGGAAAAATGGGGAACGTTCCAGGTTAGAAAGTCACTTGTTTTTAAAATAAAGAGACTCTTTCAGATATCTCTATCAGTCCAAGTCCTTTTCCGTGTTCCTGCTGGAAACCAGAAAGCTGAGATGGTCGTTGTTCTGAAATCAGTGCTGCAGAGAATATCTCCTAACAGATGCAGAAACATTTGCTGACTGCATCGCTGCAACTGGAAAATAAAATAAAACTCATGTTATGAGCTTCTGATAAATCTGCTTTAATTCACATTCACACCTGTATTAGAATAGAATAGAACAGAATAGAATAGAATAGAATAGAACAGAATAGAATAGAATAGAATAGAACAGAATAGAATAGAATAGAATACAAATAGAATAGAATAGAATACAAATAGAATAGAATAGAATAGAATAGAATAGAA